ACAACAGGTAACACAATAGCAAAGAGGAGGTGACCAACATGTCTACCTCTCGCATCCGCATGCCAGGCCATTAACCCTATGAATCCACTTTGCCAAGTGCCTCCAAAGAGCGTAATGGTGAGGAGGACATGTACCCGCTGCCTGTCCTCCAAAATAAACTCATAAACAAAAGAAATACATAGAGGTGGTGACAGACCCAAACGGCCAGTGGGGCCTATCTCCCACTCATAGTGCCTTGCCCCCGCCAGCCATGCCCATTGCCAGACCAAAGAAACCAAACAAACCCAACAAAACCCAGCATGCAAGACCCAAACAAGTCCAACCAGGTGGTCGCAACCCACTATTCGCACAGGTGGCCATCAACCATCCAGGTCATCGCGGAGGCTTACAGCACTCAGCAGCTTCACCTAACAGCCCCATCAGGCCGGAAATACTTAATTAGACATTGTCCAACCTGACACATGTCCGACCGGTGCTCACAGGTGCCTCTCCCCACCAATCAGCCCCCCACAAGCCCCACACACCAGGCACTACAGAGCCTATCCAGCCCCCTCAGCCCCTCTGACAGATCAACCCTCCGACAGCCACAGGACAGCTATACCTAACCCCATCAGGCAACCACTGGTTATGGCCATGCTAACAGAGCCACAACCCTCGACTCCATATAGCTGAGGGGAGCCCACCAGCCAAAGCCGTAAGCCACGGAGGAGGCAGCACAAATACTCGAAGGCACCAGCACCAGCCACACCATCCAACCCAGCCAAACCAAAGTGCAACCGAGTGGGAAAAAAGGTAAGCAGAGCCAGCCAAAGCCAGCCCCACAGGTCTAGGAACAGGCATGGACCAAACAATGGGTAAGAGGCATCCCCAACTGACGCAACAAGAAGGAGGAGGGCGAACGAGCAGAAGCAGACAAATGGAAGGTAGGCCCCACTTGCAGTGGGTGAAGCTGCCAACCACAGACCACAACCGAACCACCCAAACGCACAGACAACACGAGTAACTGGTAGCCAATTGTCCCACACCACTCCAGGCAGCAACAAAAAACCACACAAAGGGATTAGAATTTTCAGGGTTAAAGCCATCCCCACCGTAGTGAGGCGGTGACACCTGGCTGAACCAGCGGATATGCCGCAAGGACAAAACTTCTCAGGAAACGGTGATAAACAACATCATAGGATTCCAACTGTAGAAACATATAGTAACAAGGAGGGAGGGGGCCAGCGAGGCCCCCTTCCCGGTGGATTGATGCGGCCAGTACGACGTGTTGAAACTTGGAAAGGTTATCAGTCTAACCCAAGGGCATTTTGTATTGCCAGAACTAAGGACTCTGTTAAAACCCAACAAAAGACATGAGCTGGCCCAAAGAACAACACGGGTGATCCCCCCAAATACAATATTCAATCTCCCCAATCGAACATGAAACCTGCAAGTAGACGATAGACATGAAGCCGTAGACATTTTACCAAAAGAGGCTCGTATGCGACCGTGATGAAGTGCTCGACGTGCTAGTATCGTGAGATAACCAACTCAATGAAACGAGACGCAAATATGTTATCCGCCACGCAACGCAAACAGACCTCAACACCAAAGACCCTAGGAACTACTGAGCGAACTCAGATATCTCCCCCAGAATCCAAGGCATCAAGGCTCATCATGAGGGTGAAAGAAACACTGGGGGTGAAGCGACGGCAAGGACGAGGAAAAGTACTTAGAACAAAGCGTGAAGAACCTATCCTCCTCGGCCACATCAGCCTCGTTATATAGTGTTCTTCCTGCCCATAGTCATGTGACCCAAAGTGGTCACATGTGCAAAACCAAATCATAACAAACTAGTCATGTGACCAAGATAGTCACATGCTCAAAACCCATGACCTCATAGCGAGGTCATGTGCAGAAACTCATAAACCAATTATAACACAATAAACAAATCATATAACTCGACTAAGTCATATGCGTGAAACCCATGACCTCATAATGAGGTCATGTACAAAACATAAATCATACGCCCAAGGCATACCCGCAAGGCACACTCGCAAGGCATACTCATCAGGCGCACATCCCATGACTCATATTTGAACCATGTGCAAAATCATCACAAATCCCACACATAACAAATCATATGACTCGAATGAGTTATATGTGTAAAACAATAACATACCTGTAACTCATAACCATGTGCCATGTGAAAACCTTTTCCTCACCAAGCCACATTCGTGACAATATTGCTCAAGAAGTAGGAGTTACTGTTAGCACAGTTTTCTCAATCTGCCAGGTACCATTCACACTAAAAAGGGTCAAGCCAGGGTGCCCGAAGATACTTAGTATACCTATTCGCAAACGACCTATTGAGATCACAGCATCAAGTCAGAAAAACTGAAGTTTTCTATTTTCTGAGTTTGCCGCACTTGCTGGTATTAAAACTGGCTCATATCCGTTACGCACAGCTTTTACATTTGAAGGTTACCATCGTTTCATCGCACATGCTCGCCTCCTATCTCTTCTTTCAAACTAAGCAAAAGCATTTTAATTGGACATGGCACTATGCAGATTGGATACACGCAGATTGGCATAAGGTCATATGGAGTGATGAGGCTGCATTTAATGTTGGAGGACTCTCCTCAAGTGGTAGAACTTGGGTTACTCAGATGCCTGGTGAGAAGAATCATAAAGATTGTCTAGTACCTATGTTTCCAAAGCTGCAGACAGTTCTTGTATGAGCATGTTTTAAAGGCAGCAATAAGGGGCCATTGATAATCTGGGATAAGGAGAATTGGGGGAAAACAGTAAAATCAGTCTCATTCTCTCAGCATATTATTCCTAGGCTCCACAAATTTTGGCAACAACAGTTCCACCTTCAACTTGATTATGTTTATCTTATGCAAGATAATCCCTCTCCACATATAGCAGGCTACACTCAGAGTCGCGTTAAGGAACTAGGTATATGGGAGTATTTTATTGATTAACCTCCTTCCTCCCCAGACTGCAATCCAATCAACAATGTGTGGCATCATATAAAGCAACGAATTTGGCAGCGTACACCATTTCCCACCACCAATGATGCTCTTCATATCACAATTCAGGAGGAATGGGATACCATTACTTCTGAAGAACTTAGTTCTTTGGTAGATTCACTTCCAACCTGTGTTTGTGAGGTGCGTATTACACTCTTTTCTACTTTCCATTGGTATTATCTCTGTATACTATTTCTACTACTACTACGGCTACTACTACAGTGACTTTTTTCATACATTATCCAGTTACGGGCCAGTTTAGTACCTGAAGCTAACATCAGAGATTCTGATTCTCCTGTAGATCCGAATTGTGAACAGTGGACATTTGGGATACTAGTTGTACGGGGATTTTTGTAGCTCTTTCTCAACTTTTATGCTCTTATGATTACAGAATTTCTTTTCTTTATTGTCCTTCCTTTTATCATCATTATTCTTATCACTCTTCTACTTCTATTTGACTTCTTCTGCAGCAACTTGGGATCGGACCGAGGATGGGGCCTTTTTTTTTTTTTAACTTGTAGTACTGTTTTTGTAGGCAACTAAATATATGTCTCAAACATCCTGGTATATTCCACAGTGTACGAAATCATCTGGCCTGGCACTTGTACGAGTAAATGATATTAGCGGTGTGAGTGAGACTCGCACAAGTCCACTAAATAGGCTTAGTCAGGCTAATTTGGAATGGCTCGCCACAGAACCTCCCTATGGTTATTGCGGGCTCACCCAAAATGATAAGAGATGCGGTAGTGCATTTGAATAACGGTAGTATCTCCCAACTCATTGTTCCAGGTGCATGATATTATAAGCATGCGTTTCGCGATTTCCACAAGGTCTTATCAACAACCCCCTAGAGCAGCGGGGGTAGGTAGTCCAACGGACTGCCATATCACGCAGAGAAGTCCGGTTTCGTAAACAGCCCCACGGTTTATTCATTGCACAACTCGAGTATTGTAACGGTAGTTGCCGTTCCACTGGTTCCTGGTTCAGCGGCCTGAGGGCCCAAACGGGGTGATGAATTCAATGTAACTCATCACTGTATATTGAATTCATCAAAGACCCCCCCCCCTCGTATCCCGCTGAATACCCGTACCCAACCGCCGCCTATCCTTGCCGGCACTCCCTCCCCCCATTATCCCCACATATCCTAATACAATGCGATGGATGAACTCCCTAAACTTTATCCTAACGACGCAAAATCTCAACCAATACCCGTACCACAGTTCACCTTACCAAGTCCCATCCCTAGGCAAAACTCACGATATTGTATCACTCGCGGAACCGCGATCAAGTACCGGCATGAATGAGTATCGAACTCCGCTCTCCCACACCCCTCAGCTCGGAGGCCAAATTCTCGGTTCGTAGATCTTCCCCACTACCGTAGCTTCACCGGGGAATGAGGTGGCAGCACTTGTGTCTCGACAGTGCGCTGAGAACGTGACCCAGCCACTAATACACTTTTGGCCACATCGGAGTGATGGCGATGTTTGGACAACTCGCAGTGGAGAGAAAACGCCAGCACTGCTGTTGCCCCGGCATCTTTCACCTGGCCAAGCGCTTAGTGCCTCAACACTTGCTTACCCGCATTCCCGGTAACATTATCGCAAAAATATCTTATGATACCGGTACGGTATCCCGTAAATGGTCCAAAGAATGAGGAGCTCGGCCCTCGTTCGGGTGGATCGCCACTACCACCACTGCCCCGAGACGAATCGTCCTCGGATTGTCTCACCTCGCGCTCATCACCGCTTCCAATACATCGGCATTCGCACCAAGACACCAGAGGGAATATTCCCCACTCTGGCACCACTACCCCGTCTCGCAACCAACATTCTCTGTGGTGAATTGCCCCTCCTCCCTTGCATGCGATGCCCCTCCCACTACCGTGCTCGTACGTTTTTCCGGTGGCCGGCATTCATGGAACATCATACGAGTATATAAACCACCCACCCCCAACTCCCACCTTGCGAAATCCGTCACCTTTAAACGCCACCACACGCGCGCACTCACACACCCACCCACACACGTCTGTCAGATAGATCGCAGCAAACATGATGATATATCCCATCTTTGTTCCCCTCCCTCTACCAGGAGAGCAAATTCCTCGACCTGGAGCCACTCGAAAGCTTATAAAGTCCTGTCTTTCGAAAGGGTGGAATCGAATCCAAAAAGACATTTTACCAGCATGCAAAGCGAAGCGGTGCGTTGGCCGGTTCAGACCTTCCTTATCTGAGAAGGATGTGAGCGCAAAGCGGAATCAAGGTGGGTTCAGCTGAACTGATTATCAATGGATCCGCATTTAACTAGTCCAAGTCATTCGCTGCGGTGGAAAATATATACGATTATGAGGGAACGTTTTCTGAACTCTCGCTCTCACCGTCCCCCTCCATCTATGCACCATCAATCCCTTTTTCCTTTGGAGTTTGGCCGGCGTTCTGGGGTGGATTTTGCGGACACGGATTCTACGGACACACCATTTCCTTCTCCTACTCACAAGATTTACTGTTTTCCCTCGGTGCTTACCATCCACTCATTTCTCAATCTTTCCTACACCCTTACCTTTGAGTTGTAACTTAGCTTAGTTCGGACGTGGTGAATTATGCTCTCAGTATTGTCGTGGAAAAGGGACAGTTGCTTGAATTCCATGGTAGTATAATACGAATTGGAGCTATCGAGACACCGGCACTGTACCAGAGCGATAGTGTTTGTATGCCCACGACGACACCATCCAAGTAAGTGGTGGAAATCCTCCCGGGTGAGGATGTCTGGGTGGCCCCAAGGGCCTCCCACCAGTATTAATCCTCTACCGCTCGACACCACGTCCAGCGGCCCAATACTGGACACGGCGGAAACCATGCTGAGCCCCTCCAACATACACGTCTTCCAACATTTATCACACAAAATAAATCTTGCTAACACACCTAATAACACCTCCCTGGTACCATGGCAAGTAGAAAATAAGGGCCTCACCAGGCGCAGATGCGGTGGATCTCGTGAATCTCGTACAATATCACTCCGTGCCAAGCCTGCCAATATTTTTTTACAAGGTCTTGATGAGTACCGGTACGGTACCGTACTGGTACAAATATGCAGGGGCCTCGCTTTCCCAATGCCTTTGGTAAGAGGCTAACTATAAATGTTGGGAAATAAGTTGGTTAGAGCTTCTCATGTTACATGCCGGTACCATCTGACCGCTACAGACTGTACTTGTACTGTACCTCACGCGGGAGACTTCGCTGCACCACCGTTGAGTGTGGGGGAGTGAGGGGATCTGGGGCTGAAGTGACTGGGGGTAAATTAGCGGAAAAGCGAAGTTTCGTCGCGCTTTGACGGAAAAAAGGACAAAAGGCAGCGATGTGCTCGAGCGGTACCGTTAGACTATCTGTGGTGGCTCTTTTTCCGCGCTGTGTGTCACGCTCCCGTGACACTGGCTGCGTTCATGTCCTTTCACCCATCCTCCATCAAACCTCGTTCCGAGGAAGGAGGACGAAGCGGGGGGGGGGGGTACGGCAAGGACGATTGTGCCGTTGAACTGTGGACTTTTCTTTAAATTCCTTCGGAGTGAGGGAAATTGGGAGATCGAAAACTTGTAGGTTGTGGAGTCTGCGCCAAATATTCTCGGAATGCATTTTGGTATCCCAGTTAGAAGCAGGTTGGGAGCGCCAGTCGTATGATACATGTAGCTTTTTTCTTTTCACTCCTACCAATTCTTCCGCTCCTCCACTACAGTAGCAAGACCCCGTCAGTTGTGTTCTAGTTCAAGATGCATTCCCAGCCTGGAAGTCCTCCGATCGAACAGCAATCACTACTACCGGTCATGTGTGGAACATTGGAACATGGAATTTACAAAGCTTCTCACCAACTACAACTGCAACGATCACGTCAGTCTGGTTGCTCACTCTACAGTCGTGTCCGTAAAGTCTTAATACCCCGGCGCGGCAACAGTGTTGTCTTCCATCCCCGCAACAACCGCCTCTACCATGACCCCTCCACATACCCGAAGAGCTAGAGAAGACCAAAATAAGGAAATATATACCCTGTATAAACATACTGATATGTGGTATAATAAAATTTTTAAGGTTATGGGTATCTCTAAGGCAACTGTTCAATCAGTAGTCAAAAGAGCTGCATCAAGAGATGGAAATACCCATGATGCCCCCAGATCTGGAAGACCAACAACAATTACCCCTCAAAAAAGAAAGATAGTGGAGTCCATTATCGATGCCGAGCCTCATTTAGCGTTATGCGACATTACCAAAAAAGCAAATATTGGTCTGGGAAAGATATCTGTAGAAAAGATCATATCAGAAGCTGGTTTTAAGCTTCTGATACCTAGAAAAAAACCTTGTTGGAGGAAAGGACAAAAGGAGAAGAGAAAGGAGTTTGCTAGGAGAAGGAGGAATTGGATGAGTGCATGGAATTGGGTTGTTTTTGTGGATGAAGCCACCATTATCTATGATCCAAATCCTACTGGCAGGAAGGTCAGAGTTAGACCTGGTGAAGAGCTGGAAGAAAAAAACTTGAAGCCTAGCTTTAAGTCTGGGAGGACTAGTCTTGGGGTCTATGCTGCAATCATGAAGGGTGGCAGGACTGAGTTAATTCTTGTGAGAAAGAGGGGGGAGGAAGAAAGGACCAGCAAAAGAGACAGACTTGGCCTCAATTCCCACCAATATGCAACTGAAATCCACCAGCCATACCTCATCCCTTTTATAGAAGGTCTGGATAGACCTTCTGACAATATCTACCTAGCAGCAAACAATGCCTCCTGGCATGGTGGTGAGGAAAACAGAAAATTGCAGTCAAACTGTGGTTATCAAAAATTGCCTTGGCCACCCAACTCACCAGATCTCAATCCTATTGAGAACACTTGGGCTCTACTCAAAAAAGCCCTCAGAAATCGATTCTTCAGGTTGGATGGGTAGATAGATAGGATGCCTGAGAGAATACAGGCTGTACTAGATGCAGATGGTGGTCATACAAAGTGGTAATAATATTTTCTTAAGACTTATTAGTTCTATTCATATACCTTTCTTAATTGAGTTGTTTGAATTTTTTTTCAATTTTCCATGGAGAGGTATTGTGGTTGTGTGGTTGTACCGCCAGGGCATGAAGACTTTACGGACACGACTGTACATTGGCTGGCTGCCCGCATCGCTGAGGTGCTGGAAACTTTTATCTCGATAACATATCCCTTGGGTGGTCTGAGACAATAAAATTCGTTACAAGCAGAGCATGCCTGGTTGAGCCAAAACCATGCCAGATATAGATAGGCTGTTCTGTCAACAACAATGTCAGTAATCACTAACCAGGAATCACCAATCGGTATTTCATGCCCCTGAACTTGCAAATACTCAAAATACCTACAATGTTTGTAATATGTGGGCCTCTCTCATCATTACTCCCGGTTAATTCTTTGCAAAGAGAGGAGAAGTAATGTCCTGAAAATGGTCCAGAAAAACCAATCACGAGGTTAAAAAAATTAGGTTGAAGAAACCTACTGCTCGGCGGCAATATGTCCATATCTGTTCTCGAACAGGATATATTGGAAAGCTTATAGTATAGTACCTTAGCAGAAGAAACTGGACATCAGGATGCAATGGTGCACACTCCCTTCTCAACACCACTTGCTCAACAAATCACTACCAAAACTACAATGCAAAAAATATTTAGAAATAAAATAAATACATAATCTTAATTAATACGTTGTATACCACCCATCTGCCTCAATAATTACCTCAATCCTGTGAACCATAGATTCTGCCAAGCCATCAAAGACCTTGGGGCCCAAAAGTTCCCAACAAAAAGTAACTACCTCTTCAACAGCCTTCCTGATCCCATCCTTAGGTCCTTTCATGAGATAAGGCTCAGGATAATACTTATGAAGCATAGTTTTTATAAGAAACCAATATATTCAATAGGATTAAGATCTGGTAAGTAAGGGAGAATTTCTTTGTCTAACGAGACTCTACAGAGTACTATTACAGTTAGCTAAATCTATGCCCATACCAGTATCAAGAGACTACTGCAGTAGGAATAGTGGTAGACCAGAGTCTACTAAGTAGAGGTACTGTTGGTTAGGTATCTCTGTCAGATAGGCTATGACATACTAAGAAGTACATATGTACTAGTAAGGAGCGGAGGCTACCCTACTGGGTAGGGTAATATAAGAAGTCAATTTGGGAGTTACCCTAAATGGGTTGATGGTGAGTACAAGTAGAGTTACTGTTAGGTGGAGACAGCATAATAGACTCCAGAGTTGTCTGGGCCAACTAAGATTTATTTCGGTAGGCGGAGATTGTCTAGGAAGGTGTAGATTATACTCGTTTTGTGTAAGACTACTAAGAGCAAAGTAAAGTAGGTAAAGTGAAGTTGAATCGTAAGAACAATATTATATTATTAAGGTCTCTTCTCTGTTGCTTGGTAATGTCTAAAAGCTTGGGAGGTACTTTGGTATTTATATTCTATGTCTGAGTGTTTGAGGACTACATTTATTTATTATACAAACTATATACCTCTCTGGTTATCATCGGGTACTCTTCAAAGGTGCGAACACTAGGAGACCCTGAAAACTATTACACCCTCTTTGGTAATTATGAGATTGTCAACTAGGAACTATACTGTTCCCAATAGTAATTATCTGATCATCAGAGTCTTTAGACTTATAGCCTAGTTCTCAAGTGGAACTGAGTTGGCCCCAATTGTCTTTGTCATTAATGAAATAATTAGTTTCATCTTTGCATTGTATCTGAGGAGATAGTCATAATTGTAATCTTTCTAAGTTGCTTGAATTCAGACTCCCATAACTCCGTATTCAACTATCAGATATCTTCTGGATAATTTCCTACTGATTCGCAGGAAGATATTCTACTGGATTGACAGATAGCCCCTTGGGCGGCAACCCTTAGTTACTCTGGATAATTCTGCAAAGTTGTGTATGCAACCTTCTTAGATCGCTGATTTCAAAGCTCAATATCTCCTAATTCAACTGATAGATTCCTGTCCAGTAACTTCACTTGTGTAGAGGAGAAGCACTTCTATAGGATAGAATCCTAACCCTTTGGTAGGAGTTTGGAGGTTGTTATGCAGGGAGTCTTGCAGTTGCAAGTAGAATTGGTAGAAAATTACTCAATACTATAAATATCTTTGACGACAATAAGAATTGAAGATGTGACCATTCAGAAAGATGTCATGTGATATTTCTGCTGAGCTATAGACGTGTGAGCCCCATATGGGAGCTGGAGGGAGGTGTTGGAGACCAGACATTATGATTCCTAGTAGGGTTATATGTAATAAGACTCCATGGAGTACTATTACAAATAATCAAACCTATACCCATACCGGTATCAAGTGACTACCGTGGTAGGAATGGTGGTAGACTGGAGTCTACTAAGTAGAGGTACTGTTGGTTAGGTACCTCGGTTGAGCAGGCTATACCAGACTAAGAAGTATATGGGTACTAGTAAGGAGCAGTAGTTACCCTACTCAGTAGGGTAACCTAAGTAGTCAATTTGGGAGTTACTCTGAATTACTCAACAGTGAGTCCAGGTAGAGTTATCCTACCTTTGGACTAAAGTTACCCTGCCTTGAGCCTTGGGTTGCTCTGCTATGGAGCCAATTTACCATACCTTGAAAGTAACTTGTTACACAGGACTTCAGGAGAAGTTACTAGATTGTTTATCACA